GGAAAAATCAAAAATCGAAAAATAGGAAAACCGAAAATTCGAAAATTCATAATATTGAAAACTCTAAAAGTCGACAATTCAAAAATCAAAAAACTGGAAAGTAAAATAATCGAAAAATCGAAAAGTAAACAAATTGCAAAGCCTAAAATCTGACGAACAGAAAAATCGAAAAATCGTAAAATCAAAAAGTGGAAAATCGAAAACTGGAAATTAAAAAATCGAAGATTGGAAAATCGAAAAATCGAAAATCGGAATATCGAGAATCGACAAATTAAAAAACCGAAAAATCGAAAAATTAAAAAATCGGAAAACGAAAAATTAAGAAAAAAACGAAAATTCAAAAATCGAATAATCCGAAACTAAAATAAGAGAAAAGTAAAAATTGCAAAGTCTCAAAACTGACGAACAGAACAATCGGAAAATAAAAAAAATCGAAAAATATCTAAACATGGAAAATTGAAAAATCGAAAATCGGAAAATGGAAAAACCGAAAAATCGAAAATCGAAAACTCGATGAAACAAATACTCGAAAAAGCGAAAAGTAAAAAAATTGCAAGGCCTAAAAATTGAAAAATCAAAAAACCGAAAAATGGAAAAATCAAAAATCGAAAAATAGGAAAACCGAAAATTCGAAAATTCATAATATTGAAAACTCTAAAAGTCGACAATTCAAAAATCAAAAAACTGGAAAGTAAAATAATCGAAAAATCGAAAAGTAAACAAATTGCAAAGCCTAAAATCTGACGAACAGAAAAATCGAAAAATCGTAAAATCAAAAAGTGGAAAATCGAAAACTGGAAATTAAAAAATCGAAGATTGGAAAATCGAAAAATCGAAAATCGGAATATCGAGAATCGACAAATTAAAAAACCGAAAAATCGAAAAATTAAAAAATCGGAAAACGAAAAATTAAGAAAAAAACGAAAATTCAAAAATCGAATAATCCGAAACTAAAATAAGAGAAAAGTAAAAATTGCAAAGTCTCAAAACTGACGAACAGAACAATCGAAAAATAAAAAAAATCGAAAAATATCTAAACATGGAAAATTGAAAAATCGAAAATCGGAAAATGGAAAAACCGAAAAATCGAAAATCGAAAACTCGATGAAACAAATACTCGAAAAAGCGAAAAGTAAAAAAATTGCAAGGCCTAAAAATTGAAAAATCAAAAAATCGAAAAAACGAGGATCGAAAAAAAATCAAAAAATCGAAAAGTGGAAAATCGGAAAGTAACAAAATTGAAATCTAAAAGCTGCAAATTGCAGAACCATAAAAACTGAAACAAACAGAAAAATCGAAAAACCACAAAAGCGGAAAAACGAAAATCGAAAAATTGCAAATCGAAAAATCGAAGGTCGAAAAATAAAACAGATTTATAGACAAATGTTAAGTTTTTTTTGGCAATAAGTGTAAAATGTTGAATTTTATGCTTTGAAGGGGTCTTTGCTTTTTTGTTATTTTTATTTTATTAATATGATTTTATTGATGATAATATTTTCCTGTGATTGTTTAATATTTAAATGCAGTGTACAGAGACAGGGATGTCAGCACTCTGTTTACCAAACTCACAAAAGGCAATGCGATTACACTTTTTTGCTATCTATAAATTTCTGCTTGAAAATTCTTTGGTATCATAAAATCTATCTCTCCCTTTCGTACTGTCGGAGCCAACGTACCTATATTCAATATTCGGCGCCGGATTAAAAAACCGACCGCGTCAGCCAGTTTGTATGTACCCGTTTCCATTTGTGCAGTATAAGTAGTCCTCTCTTAGGAATTGTAGTAACTTATAGCTGCAATTTTATTTGCTTTACTGCACACATTGTCATATTGCTTAATTATGGAATATTGTCGTAGACATATCCTACATCCCTAATATAGCTTGAATAAATGTATTCCAATAATAAAATTCCATTTAATTAATATCATTCATTTAATTAAAAGGGGGAATCACATCAAAACAACAACGTAGAAATGTCATCATATTTCTGTAAAAATTTTACTCGCCTATATCCTTCTTAATGCTATTGTCAGGTACTTCAAAGGCTGGTCAAATAAGCTTAAGGTATTTAAAAGGTGGTCTATTGTGTGGGCCACAAATTACAGCTTACCGCCTCAGCTAATATTTTGGGTTGCCTAACTTACCAAAATTTGACCAAAATGCTTTGCAGTTTTTTTACAATAACTAAAAGAAGTAAAGTTTTAACAGAAAACGAAAAATCGCGCCTAAAGTAGAAAAAAATTCTCTATTACCTCGATATTTTTTAAAAGCATACCGAGTTATAGTTTTCGCTAAAAATTCGCTCGGGTTTTACGCACTTTATTTTTTATTTTAAAAACTGATACGTTTTTTAAAAAATACAAAACTCTTCCTTAAAGATTTTTATGTCATGAGCATGAGCACGCACATGTATCGCCCTGCTCTTCAACTGTTAAAATGAAGGCGCAAAATGGGTTGGCGTTTTGCCTTATTTTGGCATCTTTTAATGACTGTGTGGCGGAGCCGATAATTACTTGACAGACTTATTAATTTAGTTAGCATGAATATGAACGTTGTTTGTAACAGAAAAAATATTATTATCATTTTTATTCTACATGTCAACTTCTCCTTTTTATTCTTTTTGTTGTTAAATTTGATCAGTACCGTTCCTGACGATGTCATAAATCGCAAAATAAGCACTGGTACCAACTGCACGAATTACTAGAACCGTACACACTAACTACTTTGAATCACTTTTATTATCTACTTATACTTAAAATGAGCCTCAATAAGTGAATTTTCAGCCACGTGGTTTTATAATTTATGTAACATGAACTGTGAATTTACAGATAACTGAAACAAGAATTACCAATTGACGAATTCGTCACATTTCAGATAAAACAAATAATAATAAATAATAGTTTAATACACAGAATATTTATATTTATACTTACTTAGGTTTAATCCACTAGTGTCACTATGACTATCTAACTGTCGTTGAAGTTGAAAAGAAAGTGTGTTCGGTGTTCAAATTTCGGCGTACTTAAAGGGTTTGTGGAAAAAGAGTGGGGTTTTGGCGGATGTTCGGTTGCAGTTTGTCGTAGTGGGGGTTTAAGTTGACTACTAATTAATGCAATGTATAATATATTTTTAAGAGGAAGATGAATAACTCTTCAAACTACTTACCTGATTAGAAATATTGTACTACAAGGGTAAACATAGTATAACGACAACGAAATAAAAATAGTGAATTTTAATACCATTATTAAATATCTATATTTACCTCTTCACCAAAACCCTCGTATTTATGAGGGTTTTTCTGAAGAGCTAATAATCACTTGACTTCCTCTGTAGAATTTTACTCACAAGGAATTTTATTTTTTAATTCTCTGAACAAAAGTTAAGAATATTTGTATTTCTATGAATTATTTCTTTTTCTATACATAGAGAAGCTTCTAATTCTAATTTTTCCATATTTTTAGTTTTCATTTGCCCAGTTTTTTGTTTTTAAATTTTTTGATTCTTCGACTCTCCGATTTTCGAGTTTTAATCTTTTTACTTTTAGTACTCGATTTTCAGTTTTTAAACTTTTCGACTTTTTGCTTATTTTTGATTTTTCACTTTAATAATAGTAATAATAATAATAAGCCATTTATTGTTGTATAAAGATAATACAGCAAAGCTAATATATGAATTTGACCAAACAAGGATTAATATCAATGTTAAAAACATTAGATAATATTTGTTCCAGAGTGGCTGAGTTTTTAATTTTAATTTGAAAGCACAGGTTGAAACCGCCCGCCCACCCCATCTCCATTGTGATGATTTCTTTTTATTGTTAGAAACTTAAAACACGTTTAAAATGGTGAATTTTTGTAAGTAAGTATGTATTTTACAATTAGGTTCCGCCCCTAGGTCTGTCAACGAATGAAAACTTGGTATTTTTTGAATAACGCGATACTCATGTCTTATATGTTAATAGAGCAATAATAAGGATTTTGCAATTAAATTCCGCTCTTTTGGCTCTCGACGATTAAAAAAAATCATCACAATTGAGACAGGGCGGGTGGGCGGGGCTTATATTTTGCTTTTTTTCTTAACATACGTAGTCGTCTTTTCAGAACAAGAACCTTAAAGTTTAAAATGGTAAATTCTTGTAGACAAATATGAATCTTGCAGTTACGCCCCGCCCGTCGATCTGACAACGAATGAAAAATTTATCACAATTGAGAATTGAGATCGGTGCGGGTATGGGTGGGCCTAATATTTGGCTTTATTTTTTCTTAGTATACATGACATTCTTTGAACAAGACGCTTTTAATTTTTCATAGAGAAATAAGGATTTTGCCTTTTTTTCTTAGTATGTGTAGGTCTTATTTCGATAGCAAGAAACATAAAACATGTCTAAGATGGTAAATTTTTGTAGTAGTCAACTTAAAGTTGAACATTAAGTTTGTATCAACGGCAACTTGGCGACGGAGTTTATAAATGACAATGTTGAGCTATAAAAGCAACGTCAACAGGAACAGCAACTGCAACGGGAACTAGATGCGAATGTCGCGACGGGTGTTCCAGAACAAGCCTAGAAGCGGTGACGGAGATCTTCGAGAAGGACCGCGCGGCTGTTTAAATGGGAACCACCGTAGTCCAGAGAATGGGGGAAGTCTAGTCAAGTCCATTCCAGTCGTCTGTACATAATCACTGTGTAATCAGTCGTGAATTCGAGTTATCGTAACAATATCATCAAAACTGAAGAAATTATACCACTATTTGACACAACGAGTGTGCATATCGTGAATTAGGTACTTAATTACCATTATAATATACGTTAAATTTGAAAATTGGTTTAAAATCTCCTGACGGAACTTGTCTAGCTTTTGAACTATAATTTGGGGGGAACGAGTAAAAAAATATTTCTACTTCAGTGGAATTCGAACCCACGGCTTCCGTTTTCCTGACGGCCATGTTACAGACTACGACACTATAAGGATCTTTGCTCACTCTATTCAAAACTAACAAAAAGTTTTCCCAGCATTTATTTAATTTAATGAGTTTTTGTAATTTTAATACATGAAAATTAAACAATAATTCCTATAAACAGTACATATTTATTTAAATCTATTAACTGGTTTATAATAATCATAACTACACTATTTGGGGTTTCGGATCAATAATTTGTGATAAAAGACTACATATGCAATAGGCGCATAGACAACCCTTCACATTTTTTCATGTTGCTAAGAACACCAGCTTTTTGTATTTCGTAACAGAAAGTCATTTCATTACCGTACGCTTTTAAACTGTCTTTGCTGAAGGAAATATTGTCATCTCGAGCGTTTCTATCTACGCACCACTTCGATTTTGCTGTATAACATTGTGCATCATCTTTATTAAAAACCCGAACAGTAAAGAGATATTGATCGTGTTTATTGTACTTACTCAAAATTCGCACACACCAAGAATAACCATTTCTGGAATCGTAAGTCAACTTAAAAATATTACCATATTCGAAAAAATAGCGTTCAGTGTTAGAGCAAAATATGTAGTTTATCGTTTCTTCATATACGGTTCCTGTAACTAAATATGCCGCGTGATCAACTTTAAAATGATTTCGACAAGAAGAGAAATTGCCTTCGAATTTACATTTAGGGCATTTATACATCTGATACGTGCAACCATCTTCATGTTCAACTATTTCGCTTCCCAAAAGCATCGAAGTGCAACCAAACTGCCTATAAACACACTCGTATTGCACAAACGGTATGAGGGCCTCCAGCGAAAAATTCCGGATGTTTTCTCGAGAAAAATTTTTCCGACAAGTAGGACACTCCGAAAGTTCATTGCGGCACGATTGGCAGATGCTGTGACCAGTCAAACACTGGAAAATCGGTTGCCTCATTATATCCTTGCAAACGGGGCATTCCAAATGCTTCGTAATTTCAGAATTAACATTTTTTGGTTCGCACTTTTCAGGTTTAATCACAACTTTAATAACGTCATCTTCTTGCATAACTTCTTTCAAAGTAGAAAGTTGGATCTTTTGTCCGTTTCGTTCCTCACAGGCAACATCGAACGACAAAGCTTGAAGCTTCGTTTTGAATACGTTACTTTTACCCGTATATTCCACGACCATATTTGACTCCCCTTTCAAGAAATGCAACAAACTGTTGTCTTCGTCCAGTTTCTCTAATATCAAAATGTACGTCCTGTTTTTGTGGGTGAACAATTTGATCACTGTACCGAGACTTTGTGGGTCGATCTCGAAAGAATATTCCCCACAGTGTTCGTTTAGAACGCACGTTGTATGGTTCTCTGAGAAGTGTTTAAATAAGTCTACCAGTTTCCCGACCCATTCGCACTCTTCTTTTGCGATTAAGCAGTCTATTGGACGACAAATGCAATACTTTTCGTGTTCCCTTAAGTCCTCGTAAAGTAATTCGGTTTCGCAACCTTCCGACTGAAATTTACATGGAAAGCTTAATTTTTTCATTATGGCAACTAATCTTGTATTTGGCAAGCCATTCCACTTGTTTTCTTCCTTCTTCGCTTGGAAACAATCATGACAAACATCACCAACATTTTCAACCGTCATCACTGGAGCCACCAACAAATTCTTGCAAACACTACACGAAAAAACGTTCTCTTTCAACATTTCCTGTGTGCTGTCTTGGAAGTTTTCGTTCGCCATTACGGACCTGTCGAAATTACAACATTTTATAACGATTTTTAGATAACGTAGATAAAATCAAAATGAACCTTGGTCGTATGAGATAAGATTAAGTTTAAAAACTGCCAATAGTAGAAAATTCGGTAATCCACTCACTCTACATAAACTTTGGAATTTTATCGATGGTATAGTAGTACCTTAGTCTCTTTAATAGAATTTTTTTAAAGTCTCTGGACGAAGAATTTAAATTTAATTTTGGACCGAATCACATATATATCATTTTGTTTTACTTGAATTAGTTAAAAAAACAACATTTAAATACTTACGTGTTTTAATAACCAAAATCTTTGATATAATTCGTATGTGACAATGATTTTATTGCACGTTTATAAATCACAATTAATCAGCTGGAACTAGATAATTTGTATACGACAAGTGTTTTAAATCATCGAGTAGCAATGTGATTGTCATGCGCACCACATATAGAGTATTTTTGCAATACCTACACATTTCAGTGAACTATAGATAACTCTGGCTGTTTTCATCATATTCACTTGCAAAACATTAGTAATTTTAGATTAGATTATTTGAACCAAAAAAAGTGGCTGTGCCAAAAATTCATTGTATTTATGAGGAAAGTGAAAAATTTTGAGGATGTAAAAAGTAACAAAAAAGAATTGTATTAAAAACCTAATTTTAAAATCCATCACTAACCCTAGAATGATCGGTCATCAGCAAGACTTCTATCATTACAGGTACTAAAACTAAGTACACATACTAAGAAAAAAAATCCAAAATGCAAAATCCATATTTCCTTACAAAAAACATTTTAACTATGGTTTAGGTTTCTTGTTATGAAAAGATGGCTACGGATATTAAGAAAAAAAAGGCATAGTATAAGTACCGCCCACCCGCCCTATCTCCATTCTGATGAATTTTTTATTCATCGTAAGCCGAGGGGCGGAGCTTAATTGTAAAATCCTTAATTTTCTACGAGAAATTACCATTATGTTCTTAAGTAATCGTGTTGTACAAAGAAAAGTAAATGTAGTAAAACCAAAAGAGAAGCCCCACCCAACCGTCTCGATCTCATCCGTGATGAATTTTTCATTCGTTGTCAGACCAAGGGGCGGAGCGTCAATGCAAAATCGATATTTCCCTATACAAATTTGCCATTTTAAACATGCTTTAAGTTTCTTGTTGTGAAAAAATGGCTACACATATTAAGAAAAAAAGGCAGAATGTAAACCTCACCCCCGCGCCCTATCTCAATTGTGATGATTTTTTTTAATTCGTCTTGAGCCAAGGGGAGGAGCTTAATTGCAAAATTCTTATCACAACAAGAAATCATTATTAAAGTGCAAGGAAATAGGGATTTTGCAATTATGAGGCGGAACTTTTTTGCAAAATCGATATTTCCTTATTGAAATTTTCCATATTAAACACGTCTTGAGTTTCATATTGCGAGAAAAAGTTTAAGCATATTAAAACAAGGCAAAATGTAAGCCCGCCCACCCGCCCTATCTCAATTCTGATGTTTTTTTTTATTCGCCGAGATCCAAGGGGGCGGAGCTTAACTGCAAATAGTAATTTTTTTACAAGAAATTAAAAACGTGTTTTTGAGAATCGTGTTGTTCAAACAATACTATCTATATTAAAAAAAATCTCAATTCTTTTTTTATTCTTAGAAACCTAAAATACGTTTAAAATGGTAAATTTTTTTAATATTTTGTCCTCAAACTCCACTAAACAAAAAATTAACAATATTTGTATTTCAAGGAATTGTTATTAAATTTCTAGATTCTTCTATACGTAGAGAAGCTTCTAATTCTAGTTATTTCGAGTTGTTCATTTTTGATTTTCCGATTATTTAATTTTTCCATTTTCAGTTTTTAGATTTTTCAATCCCTTTACTTTTCCAATACTCGACTTTTCAATTTTTCGTTTTCTTTTTCGATTTTCGATTTATCAACATTCCAAGTTTTCGATTTTTCATTTTACCGGGAAGATTTTTGTATTCGGATTTTCGACTTTTGTTTTTTTATGCTCGATTTTTCGATTTTCCAACTTTTCCGTTTTCAATTTTTTGATTTCTCCAATGTTCGATTTTTCGATTTTCGAATATTCAGTTTTTTTAAACATTCGATTTTTCAATTTTTTTTATTTAACCACTTTCTGGAAGATTTTTCTTTTTTCGATTTTCGGCTATTCGATTTTTCTTTACCGATTTTCAAATATTCAGTCTTTTTGCTTTTCGATGTCTTGATTTTACAATTTTTCCTTTTTTTGATTTTCAATTTTTCAATTTTTCAATTTTTCCACTTTTCGTAAAATTTTCGTATTTTTTTCAATTTTTCGATTTATCAGTTTTCGGTTTTTCAAATTTCTGGACGTTTTTTCACAACAAGAACCTTAAAACATGGTTAAAACGGTCCATTTTTGGAAGGAAATATGGATTTTGCAATTACGGGGCGGAACCTAATTCCAAAATTTATATTTCCTTATACAAATTTTCCACTTTAAACATGTTTTAAGTTTCATATTGTGAAAAGAAGTCTACACATACTGAGAACAAAAGGCAAAATGTAGCCCCGCCCACCCGCCCTCTCTCAATTGTAATGATTATTTTTATTCACTGTGAACCAAGAGGGTGGAGCTTAACTGCAAAATACTTATTTCATCACAAGAAATTAAAAACATGCATTTGAGTATCGTGTTGTTCAAAGAATACCATGTATATTAAGAAGAAAAAAGCGAAATATTTTTTCTATTTCAGTTTTTAGATTTTTCAATCTTTACTTTTCCAATACTCGACTTTTCAATTTTTCGTTTTCTTTTTCGATTTTCGATTTATCAACATTCCAAGTTTTCGATTTTTCATCTTAAGGCCGTGTGACACGATGCTAAATTTATGACAAATTTTTGTACGAAATTTAGTTCGAAAAAATGTAACTAAATTTACAACTAAACAATATATCTCCTGTATGCCACCTTACTAAATTCTCTTGTAAATTTACCATTCGCGCATGCGTAGTGAGTGAAAATTTTCGGGAATTTAAGAAATAGTGTTGGTAATGGTGATTGGTAAGGTGCGTTTTTCAACATAACCTCTGTGACATAACCTACAATTTGTTTGTTTATTATTTACTTATTAATCATTTATAATGAATTGTGAGGAAATACTTGTTTATACAACTATTGCTGCTTCGAGTATTGTTCTAAGCTGCTATGCCAATAAAACAAATCGGAAAATTCAAAGAAGAAAACGACGTTCACTATGGAGCAGACCTTGGTTAACAAGGCGACAAGGACGAGATATTTTAAACATGTTAAATACCGAGTTGTTGCCAGAAGATCCAATTGCATATCAAAATTTTTTGAGATTAACGGGTGCTCAATTGTGGGCAAAAGAATTGTTTGGTTATGTTGATTTCATCATGGCGTCGTACCGGTTGCGCCTTATCGTACTGCGCAGTTTTCGTAACAAATTTAGTCAGTATTTAGGACGTGTCCTAAATAATTTCTCACCAAAATTTGCACACAAATTTAGCATGTAAATTGTGTATGACACGGTACAATTTTTTGCACAAAATTTATCTCACTAAAATTTGTCATAAATTTAGCATCGTGTCACACGGCCTTTACCGGGAAGATTTTTGTATTCGGATTTTCGATTTTAGTTTTTTTTTATGTTCGATTTTTCGATTTTCCAACTTTTCCATTTTCCATTTTTTGATTTTTCGATTTTCGAATATTCAGTGTTTTAAACGTTTGAGTTTTAATTTTTTTTTATTTAACTACTTTCTGGAAGATTTTTCTTTTCTCGATTTTCGGCTATTCTATTTTTCTTTACCAATTTTCAAATATTCAGTCATTTGCTTTTCGATGTCTTGATTTTACAATTTTTCCTATTTTTGCTTTTCGATTTTTCAATTTTTCCACTTTCCGTAAGATTTTCGTAATTTTGTCGATTTTTCGATTTAATAGTTGTTGATTTTTTGATCGAATTTTCAATCTTTTTACTTTCCGATTTATCGATTTATCAATTTTTCGGTTTTTCAAATTTCTGGAAGATTTTTCACAACAAGAAACATAAAACATGGTTAAAACGGTCCATTTTTGGAAGGAAATAGGGATTTTGCAATTACAGGGCGGAGCCTAATTCCAAAATCGATATTTCCTTATACAAATTTACCATTTTAAACATGTTTTAAGTTTCATGTTGTGAAAAGAAGTTTACACATACTAAGAACAAAAGGCAAAATGTAGCCCCGCCCACCCGCCTTATCTCAATTGAGATGATTATTTTTATTCACAGTGAACCAAGAGGGTGGAGCTTAACTGCAAATTACTTATTTCTTTACAAGAAATTAAAAACATGCTTATGAGTATCGTGTTGTTCAAAGAATACTATGTATATTAAGAAAAAAAAAAGCAAAATATAACTTCATTACTATTTAGATCAGGGCAATTATGGGTGGGGCTTAATCTTTGGTTTTACTTTTTTCTTCATTTCTTGTAGAGAAATAATAGATTTTGCAATAAAATTCCGCTTGTTTGGCTCTCGACAATTAAAAAAAACATGACAATTGAGATAGGGCGGGTGGGTGGGGCTTATATATTTTACCTTTTTCTTAATACAACTACGTAGTCTTTTCAGTACAAGAAACTTGAAACATGTTCAAAATGGTAAATTCTTGCAGACACATGAATCTTGCAATTAAGCCCCGCCCCTCGATCTGACATCGAATGAAAAACTCATCACAATTGAGAATTGAGAATTAATGTACATAGTATTCTTTTAACAACACGATACTCAAAAACGTGTTTTTAATTTGTCGTAGAGAAATAAATATTTTGCACTTAAGCTCCACCCTCTTGGCTCACAACGAATAAAAAAAATCATCACAGTTGAGACAGGGCAGGTGGGCGGGGCTACATTTTGCCTTTTTTTCTTAATACGTGTAGACTTATTTCGACAACAAGAAACTTAAAACATGACTCCATTGATTTAATTTCAAGACTGTTTCTAATTTTATTACATGAAAATTAAACAATACATAATTCCTATAATGGGTTTTATTTATTAATAAAACTATACATATTTAAATCTGTAAACTTATATACATATAAAGACTTATATGACTTTACATGTATGCATATCCAACCCTATTCATTATTCGTGTTGATACAAACGGTAGTTTTTTGTATTTCACAGTAAAATTTTATTTCATTTTGAAATGAATCTTCGTACGGTAGTAAATTGTTATTCATGAAGGAAATTTCCTTGTCATTTCTGTCTAAGCAACACTCTGATTTCGCAATTAAACATTGTGCATCATCTGAACTGACCAAGCGAACAGTGAAGTAATATTTATCGCGCTTATTGTACTTGGTCAAAATTCGCACAAAACATGAGCAAGAATTCTGATGATGCGTAAAAGACAACTCAAAAATGTTACCATATTCGAAAAAATATAGCTTACAAGTATAAGTAAAAGGGATTGCAACAATACTTGTTTCGTACACGGTTCCTTTAACTAAATCACAAGTATGTTGAACTTTAAAATGATTTCGACAAGCAGCGAAATTTCCTTTGAATTCACAATTACTTTTAGGACATTCATACGTCTGATACGTGCAACCATCTTCATGTTCATCTATTTCGCTCCCCAAAAGCGTCGAAGTGCAACCAAATTGACTATAAACGCACTCGTATTGCGCAAATGGGGTTAGAGCTTCCAGAGAAAAATTCCGGATGTTTTGTACGCGAAAAGCTTTCCGGCAAGTCGGACACCGCGAAAGATGGTTGCGACACGATTGGCAGATGCTGTGACCACTACAACACAGCAAAATGGGTTGTCTCATTATATCTTTGCAAACGGGACATTCCAAATGCTTCGTAATTTCATAATTAACGTCTTTTAGTTCGTATTTTTCAGGTTTGATCACAACTTTAACCACCTCATCTTCCTGCATAACTTCTTTCAAAGTGGAAAGTTGAATCTTTTGACCGTTTCGTTCGTCAAAGGCAACATCGAACGACAAAGCTTGAAGCTTTGTCTCGAATACGTTACTTTTACCCGTATATTCCACGACCATATTTGACTCCCCTTTCAAGAATTGCAGTAAACTGTTGTCATCGTCCGATTTCTTGATTTTCAAAACATGAGTCTTGTTGTTGTAGGTAAGCAATTTGGTGATTGTGCCGAAATTTCGTGGGTCGATCTCGAAAGAGTATTCTCCGCACTGTTCCTTCAAAACGTGTGTTTCATGCTCCTCTTCGAAGTGTTTGAATAAGTCCGCCGATTTTCCGAGCCATTCGCACTGTTCCTTTGGCATTAAGCAGTCAACCAGGCGATAACTGCATTTATTTTCGTGCTGCTTTAAGACGTCGCAAAGTACTTCGGTTTCACAACCCTCCGACTGAAATTTACATGGGAGCAATAATTTTCTCAAAATGGTGTCCAATGTTGTGTTCGGCAAGCTGTTCCAATCATTTTCTTCATTCTTAGTTTGGAAACAAGAATGACAAACGTCTCCGATATTTTCGACCATCATCACTGGAACCGCCAACAAGTTCTTGCAAACGCGGCACGAAAAGACGTTCTCGTTCAACATTTCCTTTGCGAAGTTTTGGATGTTTTTGTTCGCCATCACGGACCTGTGGAAATTATAACAGTTTAGTAGGATTGTTTACCTTGTTTTGAAAAAACTAGAACCTGTGAAAAATTTTAACTTAACGTTAATTACTTGACTGACTTATTAATTTAATTAAAATGAATATGAACGTTGTTTGTAAAAGAAAAAATATTATCATCATTTTTTATTCTACATATCAACTTTTCTTTTTATTCTTTTTGTTGTTAAATTTGACCAGTACCGTTCCTGACGATGTCATAAATCGCAAAATAACCACAGGTACAATCGCACGCAAATGTTTTGAGCCTATGGACGGATCGTTTTTGCCTGCCCTCACCGAAGAAGGCGGTCCAAATCCTTCAAGGGCAGAATTTGTAGGTAGGCTCAAACTACAACGAAACTCACATTTTACGTTATAAAATTTTATTGACAATAACGGGACGGACAGTAGTTATATATAAATTTGGTAAGAAATATTTATGGCTCACACCAGTTCTCTCGAATTTGTCGGAGAAGATTTAGCAGGTAGTTGTTCCCATAAAATAATGGTCACTTTCGTTCGTAAGTAACGATGGTCCGGACATGAATTATTTTGCTTTCTAACATCTTTCGACCAATTGTTCCGTATAAAAAATTTCATCACTTTTTCAAATAAAATACTCTTAAAAAAAACGATATTGTCGTTGAGTGACATGTAACTGGCATAATAATAAAAACGTGCCATTTTTGTTAACTGATATTTTTTTCATAAATGTCGCAAAATTATTAAATTTGTCTAGTCATCCCCACCAATAATGTGATGACATCACTTCAAATTTATGCATAGTAAATAGGTTTTAAATTGTATACGGTAACATAGTCCTACACATGTAGTTTATGACTCCGTGTTGAGTTTTTATCCAAAACGTCCAGATTTTTGGAAAAAAAAAATCAAAATTATAAAACAATATTTTGCAATTTAATTTTGAATTTGCAAAATCGAATACTTTGAAATCTTGCAGATGTTTTAAAATCATGATAAACATGATACATTTTTAATTAAAATATATTTGCTTATCCCCTCTAAAAAGATACCTAAAAATCCACAAAAATTCTGAAAATACATATTCGAAAAAATTAAGGCAAAAATGAATTCAGGAAGTCGTAATCTATAGAAAAATCCCTAAGGGTAATTTTCATAAGTGGTTGAATAAATTTATGACGTCACCTCAAAATTTTGCAGAATAAATCCTATCTTAAATGTATAAAATATGATGAGTTTTATACTTGTGATTTATCACTGCATTAATATTTTTTAGATTTGGTTATACAGGGTGTCTCAAAAAAGTTAATGACTGAGTCAATTTATTTTATTGAAGAAATCAAGTATAGCAAAACTGAATACTTTGAAATATTGTAGATGTTTTGAAGTTTTTGTAAGCATGGTAACTTTTTCGAAAATTTGATTAATCAAATATGCGCAAAATCAAAAATCGGAAAAACTGAAATTCACTAATGCAAAAAACAGAAAATCGAAAAATACAAATCGTAAAAATCGAAAATCTAAAAATCGCTAATCAAAAAATCGAAAATTCAATGAATCAAATACCTAGGTCGATCGAAAAGTGGAAATTCACAAACCTCAAAAATCGAAAAATAGAAAATTAAAAACGGGAAAATCAAAAAATCGAAAATTCAAAAATTTGTAATATTGAAAATTAAAAAAATCAAAAACAAAAATAAAAAAAATCGGAAATTAAAATAATCAAAATATATAAAGTAAAAAAAATTGCAAAGCCTAAAAACTGAAAAAGCAAAAAATTGGAAAAACAAAAATTCGAAAAATCTAAAATCGAAAAAGTGGAAAATCGAAAATCTGAATAAAGAAACTTGGAAATTCTGAAAATTGGAAAATCGAAAACCAAAAAATCGGAAAGTAACAAAATTGAAATCTAACAGTTGAGAATGGAAAAATTGAAAAACCGAAAATTCTAAAAACCGACAATGGACAAATTGGAAATCGCAAAATTTAAATTGAAAAATTGAACATAGAAAAATCGATGAATTGAAAAATCGAAAATTCGACGACTCGAATTTTCTAAAAATCGAAAAATCATAAAACTGAAAAATCCAAAATTCTAATCATCGAAAGTCTGAAAACTGAAAATCGAAAATTCTGAAAAGTGGAAAATAGAATAACGAAAAATTTAAAAGAAAGAAAATTGAAGTCTAAAAACCGAAGAATGGAAAAATTAAAAATCAAAAATTTGAAAAATCAAAACCGAAAAATTCAAAGATTTAAAAAGAAAATCGAAAAATCAAAAATTTGAAAATTGAAACTCGAAAATTTGGAAAATCGAAAATTAAAATAATTGAAGTCTAAAAGCTGAAAAATGGAAAACTGAACAATCGAAAATTCGAAAATCAAATATCGAAAAATCGGAAAGCCGAAAAATCGAAAATTTGATAAATCAGATATACGAAAAAAATCTGAAAATACAAAACTGGAAAATCAAAAATCTAAAAATGGAAAAACCGAAAATCGAACATTCAATGAATCTAATACTTAGGTCGATCGAAAAACTGGAAATTCACAAATCTGAAAAATAGGAAAACCGAAAATTCGAAAATTCATAATATTGAAAACTCTAAAAGTCGACAATTCAAAAATCAAAAAACTGGAAAGTAAAATAATCGAAAAATCGAAAAGTAAACAAATTGCAAAGCCTAAAATCTGACGAACAGAAAAATCGAAAAATCGTAAAATCAAAAAGTGGAAAATCGAAAACTGGAAATTAAAAAATCGAAGATTGGAAAATCGAAAAATCGAAAATCGGAATATCGAGAATCGACAAATTAAAAAACCGAAAAATCGAAAAATTAAAAAATCGGAAAACGAAAAATTAAGAAAAAAACGAAAATTCAAAAATCGAATAATCCGAAACTAAAATAAGAGAAAAGTAAAAATTGCAAAGTCTCAAAACTGACGAACAGAACAATCGAAAAATAAAAAAAATCGAAAAATATCTAAACATGGAAAATTGAAAAATCGAAAATCGGAAAATGGAAAAACCGAAAAATCGAAAATCGAAAACTCGATGAAACAAATACTCGAAAAAGCGAAAAGTAAAAAAATTGCAAGGCCTAAAAATTGAAAAATCAAAAAATCGAAAAAACGAGGATCGAAAAAAAATCAAAAAATCGAAAAGTGGAAAATCGGAAAGTAACAAAATTGAAATCTAAAAGCTGCAAATTGCAGAACCATAAAAACTGAAACAAACAGAAAAATCGAAAAACCACAAAAGCGGAAAAACGAAAATCGAAAAATTGCAAATCGAAAAATCGAAGGTCGAAAAATAAAACAGATTTATAGACAAATGTTAAGTTTTTTTTGGCAATAAGTGTAAAATGTTGAATTTTATGCTTTGAAGGGGTCTTTGCTTTTTTGTTATTTTTATTTTATTAATATGATTTTATTGATGATGATATTTTCCTGTGATTGTTTAATATTTAAATGCAGTGTATAGAGGCAGGGATGTCAGCACTCTGTTTACCAAACTCACAAAAGGCAATACGATTACACTTTTTTGCTATCTATAAATTTCTGCTTGAAAATTCTTTGGTATCATAAAATCTATCTCTCCCTTTCGTACTGTCGGAGCCAACGTACCTATATTCAATATTCGGCGCCGGATTAAAAAACCGACCGCGTCAGCCAGTTTGTATGTTTCCATTTGTGCAGTATAAGTACTCCTCTCTTAGGAATTGTAGTAACTTATAGCTGCAATTTTATTTGCTTTACTGCACACATTGTCATATTGCTTAATCATGGAATATTGTCGTAGACATATCCTACATCCCTAATATAGCTTGAATAAATGTATTCCAATAATAAAATTCCATTTAATTAATATCATTCATTTAATTAAAAGGGGGAATCACATCAAAACAACAACGTAGAAATGTCATCATATTTCTGTAAAAATTTTACTCGCCTATATCCTTCTTATTAATGCTATTGTCAGGTACTTCAAAGGATGGTCAAATAAGCTTAAGGTATTTAAAAGGTGGTCTATTGTGTGGGCCATAAATTACAGCTTACCGCCTCAGCTAATATTTTGGGTTGCCTAACTTACCAAAATTTGCCCAAAATGCTTTGCAGTTTTTTTACAATAACTAAAAGAAGTAAAGTTTTAACAGAAAACGAAAAATCGCGCCTAAAGTAGAAAAAAATTCTCTATCACCTCGATATTTTTTAAAAGCATACCGAGTTATAGTTTTCGCTAAAAATCCGCTCGGGTTTTACGCACTTTATTTTTTATTTTAAAAACTGATACGTTTTTTAAAAAATACAAGACTCTTCCTTAAAGATTTTTATGTCATGAGCATGAGCACGCACATGTATCGCCCTGCTCTTCAACTGTTAAAATGAAGGCGCAAAATGGGTTGGCGTTTTGCCTTATTTTGGCATCTTTTAATGACTGTGTGGCGGAGCCGATAATTACTTGACAGACTTATTAATTTAGTTAGCATGAATATGAACGTTGTTTGTAACAGAAAAAATATTATTATCATTTTTATTCTACATGTCAACTTCTCCTTTTTATTCTTTTTGTTGTTAAATTTGATCAGTACCGTTCCTGACGATGTCATAAATCGCAAAATAAGCACTGGTACCAACTGCACGAATTACTAGAACCGTACACACTAACTACTTTGAATCACTTTTATTATCTACTTATACTTAAAATGAGCCTCAATAAGTGAATTTTCAGCCACGTGGTTTTATAATTTATGTAACATGAACTGTGAATTTACAGATAACTGAAACAAGAATTACCAATTGACGAATTCGTCACATTTCAGATAAAACAAATAATAATAAATAATAGTTTAATACACAGAATATTTATATTTATACTTACTTAGGTTTAATCCACTAGTGTCACTATGACTATCTAACTGTCGTTGAAGTTGAAAAGAAAGTGTGTTCGGTGTTCAAATTTCGGCGTACTTAAAGGGTTTGTGGAAAAAGAGTGGGGTTTTGGCGGATGTTCGGTTGCAGTTTGTCGTAGTGGGGGTTTAAGTTGACTACTAATTAATGCTATGTATAATATATTTTTAAGAGGAAGATGAATAACTCTTCAAACTACTTACCTGATTAGAAATATTGTACTACAAGGGTAAACATAGTATAACGACAACGAAATAAAAATAGTGAATTTTAATACCATTATTAAATATCTATATTTACCTCTTCACCAAAACCCTCGTATTTATGAGGGTTTTTCTGAAGAGATAATAATCACTTGACTTCCTCTGTAGAATTTTACTCACAAGGAATTTTATTTTTTAATTCTCTGAACAAAAGTTAAGAATATTTGTATTTCTATGAATTATTTCTTTTTCTATACATAGAGAAGCTTCTAATTCTAATTTTTCCATATTTTTAGTTTTCATTTGCCCAGTTTTTTGTTTTTAAATTTTTTGATTCTTCGACTCTCCGATTTTCGAGTTTTAATCTTTTTACTTTTAGTACTCGATTTTCAGTTTTTAAACTTTTCGACTTTTTGCTTATTTTTGATTTTTCACTTTAATAATAGTAATAATAATAAGCCATTTATTGTTGTATAAAGATAATACAGCAAAGCTAATATATGAATTTGACCAAACAAGGATTAATATCAATGTTAAAAACATTAGATAATATTTGTTCCAGAGTGGCTGAGTTTTTAATTTTAATTTGAAAGCACAGGTTGAAACCGCCCGCCCACCCCATCTCCATTGTGATGATTTCTTTTTATTGTTAGAAACTTAAAACACGTTTAAAATGGTGAATTTTTGTAAGTAAGTATGTATTTTACAATTAGGTTCCGCCCCTAGGTCTGTCAACGAATGAAAACTTGGTATTTTTTTAATAACGCGATACTCATGTCTTATATGTTAATAGAGCAATAATAAGGATTTTGCAATTAAATTCCGCTCTTTTGGCTCTCGACGATTAAAAAAAATCATCACAATTGAGACAGGGCGGGTGGGCGGGGCTTATATTTTGCTTTTTTTCTTAACATACGTAGTCGTCTTTTCAGAACAAGAACCTTAAAGTTTAAAATGGTAAATTCTTGTAGACAAATATGGATCTTGCAGTTACGCCCCGCCCGTCGATCTGACAACGAATGAAAAATTTATCACAATTGAGAATTGAGATCGGTGCGGGTATGGGTGGGCCTAATATTTGGCTTTATTTTTTCTTAGTATACATGACATTCTTTGAACAAGACGCTTTTAATTTTTCATAGAGAAATAAGGATTTTGCCTTTTTTTCTTAGTATGTGTAGGTCTTATTTCGATAGCAAGAAACATAAAACATGTCTAAGATGGTAAATTTTTGTAGTAGTCAACTTAAAGTTGAACATTAAGTTTGTATCAACGGCAACTTGGCGACGGAGTTTATAAATGACAATGTTGAGCTATAAAAGCAACGTCAACAGGAACAGCAACTGCAACGGGAACTAGATGCGAATGTCGCGACGGGTGTTCCAGAACAAGCCTAGAAGCGGTGACGGAGATCTTCGAGAAGGACCGCGCGGCTGTTTAAATGGGAACCACCGTAGTCCAGAGAATGGGGGAAGTCTAGTCAAGTCCATTCCAGTCGTCTGTACATAATCACTGTGTAATCAGTCGTGAATTCGAGTTATCGTAACAATATCATCAAAACTGAAGAAATTATACCACTATTTGACACAACGAGTGTGCATATCGTGAATTAGGTACTTAATTACCATTATAATATACGTTAAATTTGAAAATTGGTTTAAAATCTCCTGACGGAACTTGTCTAGCTTTTGAACTATAATTTGGGGGGAACGAGTAAAAAAATATTTCTACTTCAGTGGAATTCGAACCCACGGCTTCCGTTTTCCTGACGGCCATGTTACAGACTACGACACTATAAGGATCTTTGCTCACTCTATTCAAAACTAACAAAAAGTTTTCCCAGCATTTATTTAATTTAATGAGTTTTTGTAATTTTAATACATGAAAATTAAACGATAATTCCTATAAACAGTACATATTTATTTAAATCTATTAACTGGTTTATAATAATCATAACTACACTATTTGGGGTTTCGGATCAATAATTTGTGATAAAAGACTACATATGCAACAGGCGCATAGACAACCCTTCTCATTTTTTCATGTTGCTACGAACACCAGCTTTTTGTATTTCGCAACAGAAAGTCATTTCATTACCGTACGCTTTTAAACTGTCTTTGCTGAAGGAAATATTGTCATCTAGAGCGTTTCTATCTACGCACCACTTCGATTTTGCTATATAACATTGTGCATCATTTTTATTAAAAACCCGAACAGTAAAGTGATATTGATCGTGCTTATTGTACTTACTCAAAATTCGCACACACCAAGAATAACCATTTCTGGGATCGTAAGTCAACTTAAAAATATTACCATATTCGAAAAAATAGAGTTCCTGGTAATAGAAGTAGTCAGAAGTTTCTTCATAAAACGTTGCTGTAACGAAATATTCCTCGTGATCAACTTTAAAATGATTTCGACAAGAAGAGAAATTGCCTTTGAATTCACATTTATTCATAGGGCATTCATACGTCTGATACGTGCAACCATCTTCATGTTCATCTATTTCGCTTCCCAAAAACATCGAAGTGCAACCAAACTGCCTATAAACACACTCGTATTGCACAAACGGTATCAGGGCCTCCAGCGAAAAATTCCGGATGTTTTCTTGAGAAAAACCTTTCCGACAAGTAGGACACTTCGAAAGTTTATTGCGACACGATTGGCAGATGCTGTGACCAGTCAAACACTGGAAAATCGGTTCCCTCATTATATCCTTGCAAACGGGGCATTCCAAATGCTTCGTAATTTCAGAATTAACATTTTTTGGTTCGCACTTTTCAGGTTTAATCACAACTTTAATAACGTCATCTTCCTGCATAACTTCTTTCAAAGTAGAAAGTTGGATCTTTTGTCCGTTTCGTTCCTCAAAGGCAACATCGAACGACAAAGCTTGAAGCTTCGTCTTGATTACTTTACTTCTAGCCGCATATTTCACAACCATATTTGACTCCCCTTTCAAGAAATGCAACAAACTGTTGTTTTCGTCCAGTTTCTCTATTATCAAAATATACGTCCTGTTTTTGTGGGTAAACAATTTGATCACTGTACCGAGACTTTGTGGGTCGATCTCGAAAGAATATTCCCCGCAGTGTTCGTTTAGAACGCACGTTGTATGGTTCTCTGAGAAGTGTTTAAATAAGTCTACCAGTTTTCCGACCCATCCGCACTCTTCTTTTGCGATTAAGCAGTCTATTGGACGATAAGTGCAATAATTCTCGTGTTCCCTTAAGTCCTCGTAAAGTACTTCAGTTTCGCACTGAAATTTACAAGGAAACTTTAGTTTTTTCAATATGGCAACTAATCCTGTGTTTGGCACGCCATTCCACTTATTTTCTTCCTTCGTGGTTTGGAAACAATCGTGACAAACGTCACCAATATTTTCAACCGCCATCACTGGAGCCACTAACAAATTCTTGCAAACCCTACACGAAAAAACGTTCTCTTTCAACATTTCCTGTGTGAAGTCTTGGAAGTTTTCGTTCGCCATTACGGACCTGTCAAAATTACAACATTTTATCACGATTTTTAGATTGTGATTTCTTAACTTAGATAAAATCAAAATGAACCTTGGTCGTATGAGATAAGATTAAGTGTAAAAACTGCTAATAGCAGAAAATTCGGTAATCCACTCACTCTACACAAACTTTTGAATTTTATATATGGTACATTAGTCTCTCTAATAGGAATTTTTTAAAGACTCTGGATGAACAATTTAAATTTAATTTTGGACCGAATCACATATATATCATTCTGTTTTACTTTAATTACCTAAAAAACAAACAACATTTAAATACTTACGTGTTTTAATAACCAAAAACTTTGATATAATTCGTAGGTGACAATGATTTTATTGCACGTCTATAAATCACAATTAATCAGCTGGAACTAGATAATTTGTATGTGACAAGTGTTTTAAATCATCGAGTTGCAATGTGATTGTCATGCGCACCACATATAGAGTATTTTTGCTATACCTACACATTCCAGAGAACTATAGATAATTCAAGCTGTTTTCATCATATTTACTTGCAAAACATTATAGTAATTTTAGATTAATTATTTGAACCAAAAAAGTGGCTGTTCCAAAAATTCATTCTACTTATGAGAAAAGTGAAAAATTTTGAGGATGAAAAAAGTAACAAAAAAGAATTATATTAAAAATCTAATTTTAAAATCCATCACTGACCCTAGAATGACCGGTCATCAGCAAGACTTCGATCATTACGGGTACTAAGACCAAGTACACATACTAAGAAAAAAAATCCAAAATGCAAAATCCATATTTCCTTACAAAAAACATTTTAACTATGGTTTAGGTTTCTTGTTATGAAAAGATGGCTACGGATATTAAGAAAAAAAAGGCATAGTATAAGTACCGCCCACCCGCCCTATCTCCATTCTGATGAATTTTTTATTCATCGTAAGCCGAGGGGCGGAGCTTAATTGTAAAATCCTTAATTTTCTACGAGAAATTACCATTATGTTCTTAAGTAATCGTGTTGTACAAAAAAAACTAAATGTAGTAAAACCAAAAGAGAAGCCCCACCCAACCGTCTCGATCTTATCCGTGATGACTTTTTCATTCGTTGTCAGTCCAAGGAGCGGAGCGTAATTACAAAATCGATATTTCCCTATACAAATTTACCATTTTAAACATGCTTTCTTGTTGTGAAAACATGAGTACACATATTAAGAAAAAAAGGCAGAATGTCGTCGTGAGCCAAGGGGAGGAGCTTAATTGCAAAATACTTATCACAACAAGAAATCATGATTAAAGTCCAAGGAAATATGGATTTTGCAATTGTGAGGCGGAACTTTTTTACAAAATCGATATATCCTTATAGAAATTTTCCATTTTAAACACGTTTTAAGTTTCATGTTGTGAGAAGAAGTTTACGCGTATTAAAACAAGGCAAAATATAAGCCCGCCCACCCGCCCTATCTCAATTGAGATGATTTTTTTTTATTCGCTGTGATCCAAGAGCTTAACTGCAAATACTTATTTCTTTATAAGAAATGAAAAACATGTTTTTGAGTATCGTGTTATTCGAACAACACTATTTATATTTAAAAAAAGGCAAAATATAAACCCCGCCCACTCACCCGACCTCAATTTTTTTTTATTATTAAAAACCTAAAACACGTTTAAAATGGTAAAAATTTGTAATATTTTGTCCTTAAACTCCACTAAACAAAAATTAACAATATGTGTATTTCTATGAATTGTTATTTTTAGATTCTCCTAGACATGGAGAAGCTTCTAATTCTAGTTATTCAATTTTTCGAGTTGTTCATTATTGATTTTTCGATTATTCAATTTTTCCATTTTCAGATTTTAGATTTTCAATTTTTTAATTTACCGGAAGATTTTTGCATTCGGATTTTCGATTTTTGTTTTTTTATGTTCGATTTTTCGATTTTGAACTTTCCCATTCTCAATTTTTTGATTTCTCCAGTTTTCGAATATTCAGTTTTTTAAACATTCGAGTTTTCAAGTTTCTTGATTTAACTACTTTCTGGAAGATTTTTCTTTTTTCGATTTTCCACTATTCGATTTGTCTTTACCGATTTTCAAATATTCAGTCTTTTTGATTTTCGATGTCTTTTTACAATTTTTCCTATTTTTGATTTTCGATTTTTCAATTTTTCCACTTTCCGTAAGATTTTCATATTTTTTTCAAATTTTCGATTTTTTGATCGAATTTTCATTCTTTTGACTTTCCGATTTCTCGATTTTTCAATTTTTCAGTTTTTCAAATTTCTGGAAGATTTTTCACAACAAGAAACTTAAAACATGGTTAAAACGGTCCATTTTTGGAAGGAAATATGGATTTTGCAATTACGGGGCGGAGCCTAATTCCAAAATCGATATTTCCTTATACAAATTTTCCATTTTAAACATGTTTTAAGTTTCATGTTGTGAAAAGAAGTCTACACATACTAAGAACAAAAGGCAAAATGTAGCCCCACTCACCCGCCCTATCTCAATTGAGATCATTATTTTTATTCGCTGTGAACCAAGAGGGTGGAGCTTATCGGCAAAATACTTATTTCTTTACAAGAAATTAAAAACATGTTTTTGAGTATCGTGTTGTTAATACCATGTATATTAAGAAAAAAAAAAGCAAAATATAAAACCCCGCCCACCCACCATTCGATTTCCCAATTTTCAGTCTTTTTAGTTTTTGATTACTGGATTTTTCAATTTTCCGAATTCCGACTTTTTGATTTTTGATTATTCGATTTTTGATTTACTGATTCTGATTTTCGAATATTCATTCAGTCTTTTTACTTTTCGATTTCTGGATTTTACAATTTTCAATCTTAAATTTTTCCATTTTTTGTAGAAATTTAACACACATGAATTTTTTTGGAACTTTTTGACGCCTAACTATTTCAAAAATTTAATTTTTCACTATCTGTAGCCAACTCTGCAAATTTAGATCCATTTTGAACCCCTTTTTTTCGATAACACCAACCGTTTTTCCAGAATCGCCCACTGAAAAATCGCAATTTTTTAAAAAATTGAAATAATTCGATTTTACACCGAATTTTTCGAAAATACAGCTCTATCACCACAAACACGCTATATTTTTGGAATCTAAATCCCTGAATTTTTTAAGAATTTTTTTAATAAACAACTTTTGTTCATTCGCATCTTCGGAGACCCAAGTGTTTTATTTTTGAAAGATTTTAAGGAATCGTGGGTTCTGATGTTTATTTTTCAAAAAATTGTAAAGAATCTTATGGTATATCGTTTTTGGAAGAACCGGAAAACGCACGTACTTGACGATCCAAAAATCTTTCGAAAAATTTCAAGTGTCTCTGATCGTCAAGTGTTGTCTGGAATATTTTTCATGTGACGTAGTTTAGCCACGCCCCAGTGGAAATCCATTAGTAATATTCAATTCAATGGGGCAAAATAAGCGTTAAAAAAAGTAACAAAATTTATTTACATCTATGTACAGTAAAATTTACAACTTAACATTGTCAACACGCATTTCTTCACTGTGAAGTATTCCCTAAGAATAAGCCACCAGCATAATCCACAGGCTGCAGACCGTATTTATTAACAACACACAAACTAGCACCCTTGTCAGTTAACAATTTGACGATTTTATAGTGCCTATTTCGGCAAGCTTCGTGCAAAGGCACTTCGCCATTTTCGTCTACAGCATTCAGTTCGACGCCCTTCTCAATCAACAATCGCACAACCTCGAGATGGCCTTTAGCACAGGCCAGACGCAGCAGCATCTGTTTAAATGCGCCCTCTTTGTCCAAACAATGATCTACATCGTTGACAAAATTTACAACATCACTGCAGTTTTTCTGGTAATCTGGTGGTATCGAACAGAGGGCAAACTTATCTGCTATACTCGATTTATCAATTAGAAGCTCCACGACTCGACTGTGTTTGTTTTGATAAGCGAGCTGAAGCGGAGTTTGGTGATATTTATCCACAACATTAATTCGACTGCCTTTGTCAATCAAGAGTTCCACGACTGCGTAGTGTCCTTCTTCGGATGCTAGATGTATAGGGAGTTGTTTGTATTTGTTGACGACGTTAAGACTTTGACCCGCGTCTATCAAAAGCTTGACGATGTCAAAGTGACCTTGTCGACAAGCCGTGTGTATTGGCATTTCTCCAGACTTGTCTATGACATCCAAATTGACATGTTGATTGACTAGAATCTTTAGAATAGCATAAAATCCGCGTTCACAAGCATCATGAATTATAGAAGCGCCAGACTTGGTTGTCAGATTTATCGGCCCAGCAACTTCAAGCAATGCTTCAAACGTTTCGTCTCGTCGTCTGGAGTAGGCAACAAATATAGACGTCTTTCTGTGATTGTCGACCACGTCAGTTCTAGCACCTCTCTCGACCAAAATTTTGGCAACTGAAGAATATCCATACTTACACGCGTAATGCAGAGGCGTTTTGCCGAATTTGTCCCTAAAATTCACAAGCGCCCCCCCTCCAATCAACCACTCAACAGTATTTGCGTTGTCTTTTGAAACACGATGTAAGACACTTTTGCACTTGTAGTCCTCCAAACACAACTTTACTTCGTACTGGAGCAAAAGTACAACCCCTGACCAGTTATTCGTTTGGCAAACGTAATGTATCGGAGTTTTACCGTCTTCATCTAGAGTGTCCAAACGAACTCCTTCGTCGATCAAAAACCTCAACAAAACTTCGTCTTTTCGCAAACACGCCCCTTTGACAAAATCGTGATCGTAGCTTTTGAAACTGTCAAAGTTTTCGCTTCGTCGTAGTTGGCTGATTATGTTTCTTGATCCATGTTGTATTAACAGTTGACTGAACGATTCCATTGAGTGTAGTTCTTGGCAAATGTCAATTAAATCGTCGTAGTCAAAGGAGATGCAGTAACGCAAAATGGTGAAGACGTTGTCTTGGAATTTCTGTGTCTTGGTGTTGGTTGCTTTGGTTAGCAAAATTATGGGTAGCAATTTGAGACGTGTGCTACCATAAAAACGAGAATCACAGTTTAGAATTTCTTTTAGTTCTTCGTTAGTATACTTGGTGATCAAGAAATCTAGTATGGTGCGATTAACCGGTGGGTCTTTTTTGGAAAAAGGTGGCTTCGACACGACGTATTTGTTTTTAACGTTTTTGACATCCAGAGGGTGGTAGTTTTCGCACCAGGAACAAGCCACTTCGAGTGCGCTTCTCCCGCTTTCGTCTCTGCAGAGAAACTCGTCGTTTTGACAGTCTTCCAACAGATGCGGGTTTCTGTATAGGACTGCCCTGTGCACTGGAGAGTTTTTGGCCAAAATTAAATCCAAAAAAAATCGAATGTTGTAATATTTTTCGTCAAAAGTGAAGTTTGGTATGTGTGACGTTTTTTCCCAATGTTCAGCGAGGTACAAGGCAGCAAAGTATTCACCAAACGAGTTGTGGAAGAATTCTGGACCAAACTCAGCACTAGTGTTTATTATGAATCCAATAGGGTCTCTGATTTTTGTGACTTCTGTGGAGGTTCGGACAACGTCGTCTTCGAAGTATAGCTTCAAAGACGACTTCTTGTAGTAGTCGATTCGTTGATACTTTTCGTCAGTGATGCGTTGATAGACAATATCGTTCAGTGCTTTCGGGTCTCCCACACCCTCCTTGTCTCTAAAGTACACGTTAAACTTCTCTTCCACAAAGTATTTATACAAATCAGCTATCGAAAACACCTTGTTTAACAAAATTTTGTACTTTCGTTGATCTTTACGGACGAGTTCGGTCAACATGTAGAGTAGTAGAGGAATCCCCATTACGTCATTATGAGGAAACAACTGAATGTTGTTCTTTATTTTGGCGAAAATTTCATCTACTTCTTCCTCCGAACACTCTATGCGATTCCTGAGGTACTTTTTTTGTTCAAAGTCGCTCAATTTTCGCATTGTTCTCGACAACACGTTAAAGTGGGTTTCTAGATTTTGGCGAAGATGACACCTAGACGTAATCCAGTGCTTGGAACCGTCCACTTTGGACAAGTTGTTTATAATGTTTCTGGCTGTCTTAAAACTCACGTCGGACAACTCATCCAAACCATCCCAGAAGTATTTGACACGACCTTCTCCAGCCAGAACTTCAGCAACTTTGGAATCAAAACTGCCACTCTGGACTTCAATTGTGTTAAAAATGTACGTTTTAAAGTCCCCAGTGTCACCTCCTTCGCGAAAGTAGCTAGAATGATCTCGTCTAACATAGATGAGAATGCTCCAAATGGACGGAGGGCTGTTGTTTTGTAGAGTTTTCAAAAGCGTGGTTTTTCCCATACCAGGGTCACCGACCACGATATTGACACTACTTTCGTCTTCACACTCCATCAGTTTTGATTCCGCTATAAACAAAGTCGCTTTGTCTTCTAAGAAGTTGTTCAAGTTATCAATTTTTGGCGAGCTTCGGACCCATTCCAAGCCCGTGGAGTAAATATGGCGCAAATGGTGGCAGACACACCCACGAGGTACTTTGCCGCATAAAATGGAAAATTCGTCTTTTGATATGTCGTTTTCGCAAACTACGACGAACCGATCTAGTTTTATGTTTTGTTCTGTCAAAAACTGGTCCATGGTTATCAACGTAATATCAGGCAATCGATTCCCGACTATCAACTGGTACGTCGTATTTAAACAACTGATCACGATTAGTGTTTCTTGTAAATTAACTTCAGAGAAAATCTTGTATTTGACGATGTTCTTGGACAGAAACCTGAAGATGGGTGAAGGTGGAAGATCTTCCGGTCTACCAAGCAACAGTTCATGGTCCAACATTTCCACGAGTTTGTCCACGTTCAAAATATCTAGAATTTTCCCTTTCTTATCAATCAGTTCGTTCAGTTTAATCGCCGCTTTGCCTTGTATGGAGCAAGTAAACGTCGACGACACCCGTTTAAATAAAGTCGAATTGCGTTTTTTCAAATCTAACAGACTTCGAAAAACACGAAACGTAGAATAGCCAGTAGACGACTCGGCATTTGCCACAATGAACTTCTTTTTTTCACAAAGACAAATAGCTTTTTGAGTTGCGTCGTTGTCTTTGACAATCAAGGGACATTCGCCCATCAACCACAAGAACTTCGTCCACTCTTCGTCGTTGAGGTCGTCAAACGATCCCACAGATGGTCGAAAAATTTGGTACTGTCTTGCTTTCCGCAAGTATTCTCTAGTGTTTACCGACTGTCTCGTTGTCAAATGGTGCCAGAAGTTTTTGACACCCTGACAAGCACTTCCCGAAAGGAACGTAACGTCGAATTTTGAGATCGATTTTCTTAGTAAGGTGGCCTTTTTGTCCATGGGTTTTTCACCGAATTGTAGGAATTCTGCTGATGGTGACAATATCATTAAAGCGATGGCGTGTTTTATGAAAGATGAGTGCAAGGTGGTTTTCAAACTGGTATTTTTGCTCCACTTTTCCACAAATTCGGTGTACTTCCGATAAACGAGTTCGTCTTGACAACTGAAGCGCGACTTGAAAATGTCTTTGATTTTGTCTTTGACTTGGTCGACCGACTCGTGGTTAGTGATTAGGGTGAAGTGTTTAAAAAAATCGTCAAACTCGGGTGGACCTCTGTCTTTGACGGTAAACTTGACGTGGTTGTTGCTCTTTACTTTCTTTATTTTGACGACGAATTTAACTTCGTCGCTTTTTTCAATCGTTATTTCGTCTTTAACGATATCAAACTTCCTATTCGTGACAAGAAAGAAGTGGAAGGTGCCGCTAGTTTCAGACTTTTTGCGATATTCTTCAAAATACTTCAAAATGCTAAAATCCCCCTTTTTGGCTGTCAGTGCTTGTTTGGTCAAAATTCCCCCAGTGTTCGCGTACTTCAGCTGTACCGCATATTTTCCGTTTAGCTTATCGTCGCTAGAAATAACATCAAAGACCACGTCGTCCATGGCACCAAAGTCCGGATGGTTCGACCAGACGTTGAATTTTTCGATTTTTTCATTTTTGACTAGATTTAAGAGCAAATACGCAAGGTAGAGGTCTTCAAATTGGCCGCCTTCGTCGGTAGTACCGCTACGTTTTTTAAACACCTAGAACGTGTTTAGATGAAGAAAAAAATGCTTAATGGTAAAATTCGTATGACTTACCAGAGATGGATCATCTACGTTTAGCAAATTATAGTGAGGTGGGTTGTATAAGTCGTTATAAATCTGAAATTTTTCTGAATTTGAATTTCAGTTCGTTGATTTATATAAATTCTTACCCAGTCTGAAGTGGCGTTATTTTGTCGAGTTGACATGGTCATATACGGTTTTTAGTTTCTAGTGGCTTTCCTCTACTGGCACTCTGTAATGGCCATAAATTTGTATTTTTTTTTTTTAATAATAATAATTCATAAAATATGTAAGGTATAAGACGCTTGAAAAATGTTAATTTTGGTAGATCCTATGACTAACTGCGTGGACTGATCCGACTTAACCAATAAACGTGCTTAAGTATGTTACGGTTCTTTTTCGTCCATTAAGGTTATGTTTTAATTAAATTTCTTGCTTTTCAAGCTTTGAATTGTTAAATAAATGTGAAATGAATGTAGAAGAAGAAATTTCATTGAACAGAAATGTGCTATGTTTAGTAGGTCAACCGCCTTTTCACACTTTTCTGATCAGCTGTTGCAACTTATGGAATCGAGAAGCTTTTGTGCGATTTGGCATACTTACGTGTAGCAAATTATATAATTTTATTTGTTTTGTGAAATGTGGAACATTGAAAGGAAGCATATTGTGGTTTTTAGGTTATGGATCTATGTTTTTACGCCAGACCTTGGCTTTCGAACTTTTGGTCTGGTGTATAGTGGGTTGCAGCGTTATTCAACCAGTTTTGCTACTTTTTATTTTCTTATCCCAAACAATATAACTGTTAGAAAACTCAATAATACCACCAACCGTTTTAGCACGTAAATGTCGATGGTCAGCGTTAAAAAAGGCACTGTATAATAAATTAGAATAAAAAATATTAGACAGAACATTCATCACCTTTGAAGGGCAAATAAATCTGCTTAACACTAATTATTCTTAATTCTTTGTAAAAAACTTGTTCGAAAGTTGTTTCGACAGAACTTTTCTCGCAAGAAAAAAAAATATGAATACAGTGATAAATCATAAGTAAAAATCATATTTGGCACATTTTGGGTAGAATTTATTTGGCAAAATTTTGAGATGACATCATAAACAGATAATTTTGATTAAAAATTTATTATGGTTACCATAACCAACATCTGTAAGATTTCAAAGCCTTCGGTTTCGCAGCTTCAAACTGGAAAATGTTGTTTCATAATTTTGATTCTTTTTCTAAAAATCTGGACGTCTCGGGTAAAAACTCAACACAGAGTCATAGGACTATGTTATCTTATTCAATTTTTCATTTCCTTTGTTTTTTGTTGTTTCTTTCGATTTTACAATTTTTCGCTTATTCAATTTTTCAAATTTTCAGATTTGATTTTCACTTTTTACATTTTTCAAGTTTTTATTATACTTACACTTTTTCGTTTTTTTATTTTTGATTTTTCAATTTTAGTTTGTCGACATCCAAATTTTCCAATTTTTCAATTCCCCGATTTTAATTTTGCATTTTCCTGATTTTTAATTTTTCATTTTCTCGATTTTATGCCACAATTTTTTGTTTTCTCATTTCCTTAATTTCTGTTGTTTCTTTAGATTTTCAAATTTTTTGTTTATTCAGTTTTTCAAATTTTCAGGCCAATCGATTCCAGTTCGTCGATTTTGCAATTTTTAAATCTATCAGTTTGCAGTTTTTGAGTTTCCAGCCCTTTTTTACTTTTTGGATTTTCAATTTTTCGTTAAACTTTAGATTTTTCAAATTTTTTTTCAACTTTTCGATGTTTTAATTTTTCTTTTTTAAAATTTTTCAATTTTTTTATTTCTCGATTCATTGAATTCAGATGTTTGGCTGTTTTGATTGTTCAATTTCTCAATTTATCAATTTCTCAATTTTTTTCTATTTCTCGATATTTCGATTTTTGGATTTCTCGGTTTTTCGATGTTTCGATTTTTCAGTTTTCAACTTTTTTTTATTCTGGAGTTTCGATTTTTTGATTTTCCAGTTCTCAGTTTTAATTGTTGTCATTTTCAATTTTTCGTTTCCTCAATTTTTCAAGTTCTCGATTTTTATTTTTCATTTTCCCGATTTTTTTAATTTTTATCTTCCCGAGTTTGTCACAAATTTTCATTTTTTCAATTCCTTTATTTTTTGTTGTTTCTTTCGATTTTTCAATTTTTTGAATTTTCAGTTCGTCTATTTTTCAATTTTTAAATTTTTCACTTTGCAATTTTTGGATTTCCAGTCTTCCGACTTTCCAATTTCTTTAATTTTCAATATTTCTATCTCATAATACATATTTCTTTTTTTTTTGATTTTTCACTTTTTCGATTCTTAAGATTTTTCAAGTTTTCATTTTCTAATTTTTCGTTTTTTATTTTGGATTTTTCAATTTCTCGACTTCCAAAATTTTCGATTTTTCGTTTCTTCAATTTTTCGGTTTGCATCACTTTTTCAATTTGGCAATTTTTCAGTATTACAAATTTTCATTTTTCGATTTTTCAGTTTCTCAAGTTTTAATTTTTCCCTTTTCCAAATTTTTTGTTTCCGATTTTTATTTTTCATTTTTCCGATTTTTTAATTTTCACTTTTGATTGTATATCACAATTTTGATTTTTTTGATTTCCTTTATTTTGTGTTGTTTCTTTCGATTTTACAATTTTTCCTTTATTAAATTTTTCAAATTTTCAGGTTTTTAGCAATTTTTCTTCAAATTTTCAAGTTTGATTTTCACTTTGTACATTTTCAAGTTTTTATTATGCACTTTTTGGTTTTTTTATTTTTGATTTTTCAATTTCACAATTTGTCGACTTCCAAATTTTCCAATTTTTCAATATTACAATTTCTCATTTTTCCATTTTTCACATTCTCGATTTTTAATTTTTCCCTTTTTCAATTTTCCGTCCCCTCAATTTTTCAACTCCCCGATTTTAATTTTGCATTTTCCTGATTTTTTATTTTTCATTTTCTCGATTTTATATCACAATTTTTTGTTTTTTCATTTTCTTAATTTTTGTTGTTTCTTTCGATTTTCCAAGTTTCCGCTTATTCAATTTTTCAAATTTTCAGGCCAATCGATTCCAATTCGTCGATTTTCCGATTTTTAAAGTCTTCAGTTTGCAGTTTTTGGGTTTCCACACCTTTTTTACATTTTGGATTTTCAATTTTTCGTTAAACTTTAGATTTCTCAAATTTTCGACAGTTTTATACTTCGATTTCTTAATTTTGTTTCAACTTCTCGATGTTTTAATTTTTCTTTCTTAAAATTTTTCAATTTTTTTTTATTTCTCGATTTATCGAATTCAGATGTTTGGATGTTTTGATTGTTCAATTTCTCAATTTATCAATTTCTTAATTTTTTTCTATTTCTCGATGTTTCGATTTTTGGGTTTCTCGGCTTTTCGATTTTCCAATTTTTCGATGTTTCGATTTTTTAGTTATCTGATTTTTCAATTTTTTTAAATTCTGGAGTTTTGATTTTTTGATTTTCCAGTTCTTCAATATTTCTATTTTCGAATTTTTCAAATTTTGACGTTGCTAAATTTTCAGTTTTCCGATTTTTCAATTAATATATTTTGTTTTGATTTTCTCGTTTCTCAAATTAGCAGTTTCGATTTTTGGATTTTTCGGTTGACTAATTTTTTAATTTCTCAATTTTGGATATTTGTTTCAGTTTTAGGATTTTTCAATATTTCTATTTTTCGACTTTTCGATTTTTTATTTTTTGGATTTTCAGTTTTTCGTTTTTAAACTTTAGATTTTTCAATTTTCGACTGTTTTATATATACTTATTTCGATTTCTGAATTTTTCTTTTTTCCGAATTTTTTATTTTTCGGTTTTTCAATGTTTTTTGTCTCAGTTTTTGAATTTTTCGATTTTTCGATTTTTGAATTATCCGATTTTTCGATTTTCCAATTTTTTAAATTTTCAAGTTTTGACGTTTCTGAATTTTCAGTTTTCAGATTTTTTAAACCCATTTACTATGTACCAGTGGCGACTCGTGACCTTTTGAAATGGGGGAGGCACTTTTCGTTTTGCCATGAACATTTTTTTTATTAATAAATCGAGGGTGGCTCTCCCTAAATTTTTCACTACAATTTTATTCAATTTTATTGTCGTAAGACACAGGACGATTTTTTATTGAATATTCAACTGAATTCATTAATTTTATTAAAAATTGAATCACTGATAATTGTCAAATACAGCGACTAGAGGCGCGGTTTCCATGGCAACGCTGTAAAGCGAGATAAAGAAATTAGTTTTGACAGTCATGAAACAAACTTCCGGATGATGTTTTAAATATTGAAAATTACTATTTTGTTATCTCAAATCACAACTTTGGGTTCTAAAGGTTTTTAAAGTAAAAATTGAACTTTCTTTTAAGGCTTCTGTTATATTTTTCAAAATACAAACTAACGAACGCAGACGAATTTTAGCACTGTACTTTGTTGCAGTTGCTACGACTTAATGATTCAGTTCAGTTCGAAGTATCACTGTTACGACAAAACAATAATTGTAGTAACCGTCAATTATACGCATTATTACTGGTAATTTGCAACTTAAGTAGTTGCGGCATTTAGTTCTCGTTACAAAATTGACGCAAAAACGATGAATGTATGAATCTGTACCTATATACAGGGTTATGATAAAGTAATATAAAAAGTGCAGTATTTGTTAAAAACAATGGTCGAAGGATTTTGTTTTTGCAATTTTTTGTTTCATTTTTTCGATTTCAAATTTTTCGAGTTTTCAACTTTGGAATTTTTCAATTTCTAGATTGCAAAATCTAGAATTTCTCGAGTTTTCAATTTTTAATTTTTCCATTTGCAATTTTTCGTTTCAGTTTTTTATTTGCTTTTTATTTTTGTTCCGATTTTTGTCTTTCCAATTCCACTTTTTTTCAATTTTTCGTTTCGTCAATTTTTTCAAATTTTTGTTTTTTGAGTTTCTGTATTATAATATCTCTTGCTGTTTACGCCAAAAAATTGTTGAAAGAAAACTTTGTACATAAAGAAAAAAAAATTAAGCCCTACCCACCAGCCCCGATCTCAATTGTTATGAGTTATTCATTTCTAATCAGACCGAGGGGCGGAGTTTAATTGTGACATCAAAGTTTTTCTAGAAAATCCTATCATTTTAAAAACATGTTTCATATGGTAATTTCTTCTCGAGACATGCGAATTTTGCAACCAAGCTCCACCCTTCAGCTCACGATGAATAAAACATAAACTTTTTCGTTTTTTTATTTTTGATTTTTTTATTTTACAGTTTCTTGACTTCTAAATTTTTCGATTTACAATTTTTCGATATTACCGTTTCCCATTTTTCGATTTTTCACATTCTGAATTTTTAATTATTGTCATTTTTAATTTTTTATTTCTTCAATTTTTCAAGTTCTCGATTTTTTTAATTTTTATTTTCCCGAGTTTGTCACAAATTTTCATTTTTTCAATTCCTTTAGTTTTTGCTGTTTCTTTCGATTTTTCAATTTTTCGTTTCTTCAAATTTTCGAATTTTCAGTTTCACAATTTTTCTTTCCACAATTTTTCATATTCCCGATTTTTATTTTTCAATGTGGCGAATTTTTAATTTTTATTTTCTCAATTGTTTTCAGGCTTTGAATTACCAGTTCGTCCATTTTTCAATGTTAAAATTTTTCACTTTGCAGTTTTTGGATTCCCAGTTCCCGATTTTTAAATTTCTTTAATTTTAAATATTTCTATTTCATAATACATATTTCTTTTTTTTTTTTATTTTTCACTTTTTCGATTCTTAAGATTTTTCAAGTTTTCATTTTGTAATTTTTCGTTTTTTATTTTTGATTTTTCAATTTTACAATTTCTCGAATTCAATTATTCGGTTTGCATCAGTTTTTCAATTTGGCAATTTTTCAATGTTACAGATATTCATTTTTTGATTTTTCAGTTTCTCAATTTTTAATTTTTCCCTTTTCCAATTTTTTGTTTTCGATTTTTAAATTTCATTTTCCCGATTTTTTAATTTTCACTTTTTTGTTTGTATATCACAATTTTGCTTTTTTTGATTTCCTTTATTTTTTGTTGTTTCTTTCGATTTTACAATTGTTCTTTTATTAAATTTTTCAAATTTTCAGGTTTTTAGCAATTTTTCTTTAAATTTTCAAGTTTGATTTTCACTTTGTACATTTTCAAGTTTTTATTATACACTTTTTCGTTTTTTTATTTTTGATTTTTCAATTTTACAATTTGTCGACTTCCAAATTTTCCAATTTTTCAATATTACAATTTCTCATTTTTCCATTTTTCACATTCTCGATTTTTAATTGTGCCCTTTTTCAATTTTTCGTCCCCTCAATTTTTCAACTCCCCGATTTTTATTTTGCATTTTCCTGATTTTTTATTTTTCATTTTCTCGATTTCATATCACAATTTTTTGTTTTTTCATTTCCTCAATTTTTGTTGATTTTTCAATTTTTCGTTTCTTCAATTTTTCGAATTTTCAGTTTCTCAATTTTTCGTTTCCACAATTTTTCATATTCCCGATTTTTATTTTTCAATGTGGCGAATTTTTAATTTTTATTTTCTCAATTGTTTTCAGGCTTTGAATTTTCAGTTCGTCCATTTTTCAATTTTAAAATTTTTCACTTTGCAGTTTTTGTATTTCCAGTTTCCGATTTTCCAATTTCTTTAATTTTAAATATTTCTATTTCATAATACATATTTCTTTTTTTTTGATTTTTCACTTTTTCGATTCTTAAGATTTTTCAAGTTTTCATTTTGTAATTTTTCGTTTTTTATTTTTGATTTTTCAATTTTACAATTTCTCGACTTCAATTTTTCGGTTTGCATCAGTTTTTCAATTTGGCGATTTTTCAATATTAAAGATTTTCATTTTTCGATTTTTCAGTTTCTCAATTTTTAATTTTTCCCTTTTCCAATTTTTCATATCACAATTTTGCTTTTTTTGATTTCCTTTATTTTTTGTTGTTTCTTTCGATTTTACAATTGTTTCTTTATTAAATTTTTCAAATTTTCAGGTTTTTAGCAATTTTGCTTTAAATTTTCAAGTTTGATTTTCACTTTGTTTTTATTATACACTTTTTCGCTTTTTAATTTTTGATTTTTCAATTTTATAATTTGTCGACTTCCAAATTTTCCAATTTTTCAATATTACAATTCCTCATTTTTTCATTTTTCACATTCTCGATTTTTAATTGTGCCCTTTTTCAATTTTTCAACTCCCCGATGTTTGGATGTTTTGATTGTTCAATTTCTCAATTTATCAATTTCTCAATTTTGTTCTATTTCTCGATGTTTCGATTTTTGGATTTCTTGGTTTTTCGATTTTCCAATTTTTTGATGTTTCGATTTTTCACTTTTTTTAAATTCTGGAGTTTCGATTTGTCGATTTTTCAGTTTTTCTATTTTTTAAGTTTTAGATTTTCGAATTTTTTTTTATTCTTTGATGTTTGGATTTCTCCATTTTTCTATTTTACAATTTTTCAAATTTTGACGTTGCTAAATTTTCAGTTTACCAATTTTTCGATTAATACATATATTTTTTTATTTTCCAGTTACAACTGTGTTATATATATTTCGATTTGTGAATTTTTCGGATTTTCAGTTCTTGCATATTTTAATTTTTCTTTTTTGGAATTTTTTTATTTTTCGATTTTTCAATTTTTTGAGAGCTCGATTTATCAAGATTCCGATGTTTCGATGCTTTGATTGTCTCAGTTTTTGAATTTTTCGATGTTTCAATTTTTCGATTTATCGGTTTTTCGTTTTTTTACTTTTCGGCTTTTCGATTTTTCAATTTTCCAATTTTTTAAATTTTCAAGGTTTGACGTTTCTGAATTTTCAGTTTTCCGATTTCTCAGTTAATCTATTTTTTGATTTTACCATTTTCGACTTGCCAAGGTTTCGATTTTTCAGGCTCCAGATTTTTCAACTTTTCGATTCTTTAGGTTTGGAGTTTTTCGGCTTTTCGATTTCCCAATTTTGCCAAAAATTCATCACAATCGAGGAGGGGTGGGTGGGCGGGGCTTATATTTATCTATTTTTTCTTAATAAGAATTGTAAAACCGGAAGAAACATTGAAAAAATAAAAGAAACGAAACGAAAAATCGTGAATAAAATCAAGAAAATGAAAAATAAGAATAAAGGACTTGAAAATTGAGGAAACAGAAAATTGAAAAATCGAAAAATTTGCAAGCGTGAAATTGAAAAATTGAAAAAATTGGGGTCGGTTTATGAAAAGCGAATTAAATATTGAATCCTCGATTAATTTAACATAGGATGAAAATGTAGAATATGAGCCCGTGATTGGTAAAACATGCACGTTGCATAGCAACGGATCACAAGTAAAATTAATCGCGATTAACTTATAATTCTATATATCAACTGGAAGAACATTTTCCAATCGCATCATACTCTGGTTTTAAGTTAATATATAATTAAAACAGTTGCAAAAATGGGCTACAATAACAAGGTTAATGAAGCAATTAAACAGCATGGAAAATTTTTAATAAAAAAAACAAGGAGAAAATAATTCCCTGTCGTGTTCGTTATTTCTGCGTCATCCACTTGCAACGTGGAACAACCTGTAATTCATGTTTCACCATTTGTAATTGAAAACAGTGTTTAATCTACATCCATCACGATGCTTGCTTGGATTCTGACAATTCTGGTCACAATTATTTTAATGAGAGCGTTGTCCAACCAATGGCGAATTTTATATTATTCTTTTAAAATCCCTGGACCACTGGCTATCCCTCTAGTAGGGAGTTTTTTCCTCATCACCATGCCAAAAAAAGGTAAAAATTGTGATTAGAGCAAAATTTTTTTTAAGCAGAATTCTGTTCCAGGTATAATAAACGTTTTAAAAGAAAAATGTAAGTGGTATTATCCCCTGTGTAAGATCTGGGCAGGTCCGGAATTGTACGTTTTCACAAATAGGCCGCAGGATGTGGAAACCGTGTTGACCACATTTTTAGAAAAGTCCAGTGTTTATAGGCTTTTCGACGATGTTGCAAAAGATACTCTTTTGACAGAGAATGGTAGAAAATGTGGTTTAGTGATATTTGTCTAAAATCAACCCCTTTTAGCCTTTTTGTGGAAAGTCAACAGGAAATCACTAGATCCCTCCTTCAATATACAACTTTTAAATTCATTCCATGACTCACATGTCGAATACAGCAAACGTCTTGTAAATATTTTGGAAAATACTACTGGGACCGAACAGACGGATTTGATAACAGAAGTGTGGAAGATAATTCTGGACAATCTTATAGGTAGATAATATACTACCATATTCCCTTTTATTGTAATTTATACTTTCTACCTACCTACAATAGCTTTATTTTTAACAGAAACCATGACATGCACCCAACCATCTTTGCTCCCAAAAAGATACGATTTTATCAAAGCAGCGGTAGAGTAAGTTACCCATTTATCTAAACCCACATTTTGGTTAAAAACAACTTAATGGGATAAAACTTGGCACCTTTTCTTGTTTCAGACCTGGCGACGTATTTGTCCAAAAAGCGTTCAAATTCTGGCTCCTTATCGATTTTTTTTGGAAACGTTCGAATTTGTTTCAAAAAAACGCTTTTTATTGCGAACAGGAACGTGTATTACCCGGTGACGTAAGCAGTTTTACAGATGAAAAAAAAAGAATTTTATCTAATGATCGTAGGTTTTGAATCTGGTGGAACGTGCATATGAATCTAAAAATTTTGAAAGTAAGTATCGAATGCAATCGTTCTAGCTGGCTGCAGAATGGTTTGAGAAGTTTTTTTTTTTTAGATAACCCGATGAGGGAAAAATGTTTTCTACCCCACTTGGTTAAACTAAGCCGGGAGACGAATGCAATTTCGAGGAATAAAATTGTCTCTGAAATTGTCATTATGTTCAGTGCTGGCTCTGAAACCTCAGCTGTGACGCTTACTTCAGCTCTAATGTTCTTAGGAATGAATCCTGATATTCAGGTAAAACCTCTAAAATTTTTGTTTCCTTAATAAGTATTTATAATAAATATCGCGTCTTCTACTAGGACAAGGTTTACGAAGAAATCATTTCAGTTCTTGGAGTTACAGAAGCGGATCCAACTCTAGCAGACCTTAATCGTTTGGACCTCGTAGAGCGGGTCCTTAAAGAAACAATGAGACTAATTCCAGTTGTTCCGATAATCAGTAGAAAAATCGACTGGGATATCAAATCAGGTACATTTTGAACCCCTGTATTTCACATTTATGTCATTTTACTGTGTTTCCATAGATTCGTATGTCTACCCAGCTGGTTCTAACGTTGTCATTCCAATTATATCCCTACATAACGATTTTCGCGTCTGGCCAGAACCAGAAAAGTTCGATCCAGACAGATTTTTACCCGAAGAAGTCGAGAAAAGACACCGCTGTTCTTACATTCCTTTCAGCTATGGTGCCAGAAATTGCATTGGTTTGTATCTGTTTCTACGAAGTTTGGTTTTTAAAATCGATTGCAGGTTGGAAGTACGGCATGATGTCAATGAAAGTCTATCTGACCATGCTCATTCAAAAGTTTCACGTTAAAACTTTAGAACCGAAACCAATGGACGAAATACAATTGGAGTACATGGTGGTGTCGAGACCCAAGAACGTACGTTTAGTATTCGAGAAAAGAAAGTAATTAGTGTCAGTGTAATTTGTAATTAGAAATGGAAAATATATTTTTGGAGAAGCATATTTTGCTGTTTTTAATATTTATAAAAATTATCGGCAAGAATTTTCGTTTATCATATTTATGTCTTGAAACAGGTTTTAAAATATGGTCATTTAAGCCAAAATGCACAACAGAGAAAATTCGGTCGAAATGTTTTTCATTTTTCCTTCCCGGTTTCTTAATTAGGTATGCGTTTATCAATTTTTTTGATTTTTATATTCTTCGATTTTTCAGATAATCTTTGATTTTTCTAATTCTTAATTTACCGATTCTTTAAGTTTCTATTTTTAGATCTTTCAATTTTCGCTTCAATTTTTCGATTTGCAAAGTTATTTCGATTTTTTAATTTCTCGACTTTTATTTTTTGATTTTTCAATTATGCGTTACTTCAATTTTTCCAACAAAACGCTATATTTTTGGAATCAGAATGTCGAGATTTATGTCCCTGAATTTTTTCGCAATTTTTACACAACTTTTTTAAAATTGAAATTTTTTCAATGGTCCCCCCCCTCTTCAAATTTCGGCCAATTTTTGACATTTTTGAAACTTAACTAAGTACATGGTCGAAAATTGGTGGAATTTTTCGTATTTTAATATACTTCAAACAACGATTCTGGAAAAACCATTGGATTTATCGAAGAAGTGAAAGCGGATATGACTTCTGCGGCTTGAAATCTACAAGAAAATGTGTTAAGTGAAAATTCGAAAATTTCGTTGAAAATTGGTCGAAAATTGGTGGTATTTTGCATATTTTTGTATACTTCAAACGACGATTCTGGAAAAACCATTGGATTTATCGAAGAAGTGAAAGCGGAGATGAATTCTGCGGCCCAAAATCTACAAGAAAATGTGTTTATTAAAATTTCGAAAATTTCGTTGAAAATTGGTCGAAAATTGGTGGTATTTTGCATATTTTTGTATATTTCAAAGGACGATTATGGAAAAACCATAGGAGTTATCGAAGAAATGGAAGCGGATATGACTTCTGCGGTCCGAAATCTACAAGAAAATGTATTTAGTGAAATTTCGAAAATTTCGTTGAAAATTAGTCGAAAATTTGTGTTATTTCGCATATTTTTGTATACTTCAAAGGACGATTCTGGAAGAACCATTGGAGTTGTCGAAGAAATGAAAGCGGAAATGACTTCTGCGGCCCGAAATATACAAGGAAATGTATTTAGTGAAATTTCGTTTTTCGAAAATGTTACTCCGTGACCATCAACACCCTGTATTTTTGGAATCAGCAAGTCGAGATCTACATACGTGCCTGAATTTTTTACAATTTTTAAACCACTTTTTATACCTATATATTTCTTTTTGATTAACCGTGTTCGGTTTTTCTTGTTTTAAAAGTGTTTTTTTTTTATAATTGAACAGTGAAAATATTATATTTTTCTGTTGTAATTAATGGTTTTAAATATTACAAACATACATTCTCTGGACAAGTTTTCTAAAATCTTATCTTTTGAGGAATACCCTTGGGGATTTTTCTTTCTAGTTGTTTTCAGATTTTTTCAGAAACGTTGCGTTTTCTTATGCAGAACATTTAACTTACTTAATTTAACGAGTCACACCCATTTTAGTAACCCAATCTAGAACACTCAGTATATTTTTCTAAAATATTTAATCACACTTCTTAGTTATTTCAGGGGAGGGTGATATTTTTTCGTTGATAATAATTTTCAAATGAAATTTTTATAGCCATAAAATTAGTTTTTAAATTCCGCTTCAACACTGTGGCCCCCCGAAAACTCAAATTGTAAAAAATTATTAACGCCCCTATAACAAAAGTAAAAAAAAAAACTAAAAAAAAAATCCGCCCCCGCACGTCAAAAACAATCGAACAAATTCCCAGTTGACAAATTCTCAAATGTCAACCATCCCCAGCTGTTCCTGCAATGTGCAAACTGGGGCCGTAATCACTCAGATCTAGGCCCCTAAATACTCAGCCGTCTCTCACGACCACCCCCACTTCACACCACCCCGAATCGGCGTAAGTTTCATTCATCACTTTCCGAAAAATCGCAGTGATAATTTTTAGGTTATGGCGAACGGCTCGACCCGGCGAATCCTAGTCGAGACGAAAAACCTATCCAAGGACCCGCCCCCGGGCATCAGCGCCACCCCCGACGACAGCAACTGCCGCTACTTCCACATCGTGATGGCCGGGCCCCAGGGCTCGCCCTACGAAGGCGGACTGTTTCGGCTGGAGCTCTTCCTCCCTGAGAACTACCCTCTGTCGCCGCCGAACGTGCGCTTCCTGACCAAGATCTATCACCCCAACATCGACAAGCTGGGGAGGATTTGTCTGGATATTTTGAAGGACCAGTGGTCCCCGGCGCTTCAGATAAGGACTGTTTTGTTGTCGATACAGGCGCTGTTGAGCAGTCCCAACCCGGATGACCCCCTGGCCAACGACGTGGCGTACACGTGGAAGACTAGGACGAGTGAGGCGATTATTCGGGCGAAGGACTGGACGAGGATTTATGCCATGGAGTAGTTGTGTATGTGTTTTGTTATTGAATTAAACGTGGTTGAAGCAATGTCGGTGTATTTTGCGATAGAACAATGCAGTAGGTACACAACAGTGGAGAAAATGATTTAATATTTAAAGCTCTAGCAGGCCATGAAATTCATTTTTAAAACATTGGCGTTGGCGTTGCTTTATCTGACAGTTGTCGTGTTGCCAACGTAATTTTTTTAACACTAAATTTCAAGGCTTGCTAGAGAACCTTTTTTATCATATGGTACAGTTTACCCAGAATAAGGTTCTCTGATAACTTGGACAGTTCAGAGGATGTAGAAATTGTACCTGGATTCATTAAAATGAATAAAACAAATTCTAGAAAAGTGTAACTTCGCTACTACGACCAGTATGTTGAATTTTGTTGTATATTCTTCATTGTCTAATTTCTTCCCAATTCCGAAAATAATCCGGAAAAAAAGTATGTCTCTACGAGTACGAGTATATAGTGAAAAATTAAAAAAAAAACATGACGACGACGAATAGTCATAAATCATCACAAAGCCAGCTTGATGTAGAATCTTCGTATTTCCTTTGTTTTTTTTTTTTTGAACGTATGACGTAGCTAACATCATACATACAACTTGTGTTGTGATTGGGTTACCAACGATCTCGCGTTTCAACATTGCCTAAATTGTACTTTGTTTCGATTTTCCGTTCCAAGATACGAAAATTATGTGATAGAGGTATTTAGAATCAAACCTTTTTAGAAAATTCGTTCAGAGAATGTTTTCACGTGTAGTCCAAAGCGTGTATAATTGGTTGCATACACACAATTTCTATATTCCTAATTTTTAAAATTGTTAGTTGAAGCATCACAATGGAATAGTTGTTCAGTGATCCTTGGATATGCGCTGTAGAAAATGTTTAGAAATATGTAAACAATAAAATATTAAAATTTCAATTACAAGTGAAATGTGCCGGTGAACATAAACATATTTATATTTAATCGGCGTTTATTACAGAAATCTGTAATATGCCATTCAATTTTTTTTTTCGTTCTGCGTTCTGCTGCATTTATTTGCGGAACAAAAAATAAAGTAAGATGCGGTAATAAAATACAGGGTGTTCTAAATTTTTTTTTGTGAACACTGTGAATTTTAAAATTTCATTTAATTGATGCAGTCGTCGGTATGGGAAACGTGAGACCAAAAATTTCGTGTTCAAAAACTGTGAAATGCCCAAGCACAAAATTTCACATTGACCGTATTAAGAATAAAAGACATATTTAAAAAACTTCGAAAAAAGTGGAGCAATACAGTTTTTCAAGCTTTCAGTTTTTTATTTTTCTAGTTCTAGATTTTTAATTTTTCGATTTTTCTATGTTTCGTTTTTTCAGTATTTCTAGTTTTCAATTTCTCGATTTCCCGCTTTTTAATTTTTCGATTTTTCAGTCATGCGTTTCTACAATTTTTTTGATTTTCCTGTTCTTCGATTTTTCAAATTCTGTATTTTTTAATTTTACAATTTTTTGATTTTTCAATTTTTTGATGTTTAGATTTTTAATTTTCCGATTTTTCAGTGTTTAGTTTCTTTTCTTCAATGTGTCTATTATTCAGTTTTTCGATTTTTTTTTATTTTTCGATTTCTCAATTATGCGTTTCTACAATTTTTTGGATTTTTCTGTCCTTCATTGGTTCAGATTCTCTACACTTTTAATTTTTGGATTTTTCAGTTTACAATTCTTCGATTTTCCAAATTTTTGGGTTTTCAATTTTTCAATTGTTCAATTCTTCGATTTCTAGTGTTTCCTTCTTACAATTTTTCGATTTGCGAGTTTTCGAGTTTCCAGGTTTTTAATTTCCCGATTTTTAATTTTTTGATTATTAAATGATGCGTTTCTATAATTTTTTTTATTTTTCTGTTCTTCATTTCTTCAGATTCTTTATTTTTAATTTTTGGCTTTTTCAGTTTTTTTGGTTCTTCAATTTTTCAGTTTGCAATTATTCGATTTTCCAATTTCGCGATTTTGATTTTTTCGATTTGCAATTTTTTCATTTTTTGATTTGCAATTGTTCAATTTTACAATTTTTTAGATTTTTTATTTTTCCGATTTTTCAATGTTTGGTTTCTTCTGTGCATATTTTTATTTCTCAGTTTTTCGTTTTTATTTTGTTTCGATTTTTCAATCATGCGTTTATTAAATTTTTTGGATTTTCCTATTTTTGGATTTTTCAAATTCGGTATGCAACTATTCGATCTTCGATTTTCCAAGTTTTTGGGTTTACAATTCTTCGATTTTTCAATTCTTCCATCTTACAATTTTTTGATTTGTAAGTTCGCGAATTTTTAGGTTTTCTTTTTTTCAATTTCCCGATTTTTAATTTTTCGGTTCGCAGTTTTTTGATTTTGCAATTTTTTGATTTGTCGATTTCTGATTTTCCGATTTTTCGTTTTCTCAGTTTTCCAGTTTGTCGATTTTTAATTTTTTGATTTTTCAATTATTCGTTTCACAGTTTTTTGAATTTTTCAATTGTTCGTTTCTTCAGATTCTCTAGCTTCCACTTTTGGATTTTTCAGTTTTTTCAATTTGCATTGATTTGATATTTCCGTTTTTAGATTTTTCAGTTTCGCGATTTAGACGTTTTCAATTTTTCTATTTTTCGATTTGCAATTTTCCGACTTTAAGGTTTTTCGGGTTTTCAAGTTCTTGATTTTTAATTTTTCGATATCTCAATTTTCCAATTTCTCGATTTTCCGATTTTTAATTTTTTTCAATCATGCATTTCTACAATTTTTTCTTCGATTTCTCAAATTTTGTATTTTCAATTTCTGGATTTTTCAGTTTTTCAGTTCGCAATTATTCGATTTTCGATTTTCCAAACTGCTGAGATTTCAATTTTTCGATTTTTCAGTTTCACAATTTGGATTTTTTCGATTCATCAATTCTTCGATTTGCAAGTTTTTGAGTTTACAATTTCTGGATTTTTAAATTTTTTGATTTCTCGATTTCTAATTTTTCGTTTTTTATTTTTTTTTCAGTTTTTCAATTTTCGAATTTCCAGATTTTTAATTGTTTGATGTTTCAATTATGCGTTGCTACAATTTTTTGGATTTTTCCGTTCTTCATTTCTTCTGATTCTCTATTTTTAATTTTTGATTTTTCAGTTTTCTTCTTTTTGATTTTTTCGATTTTTAAAGTTAAAATCCAAAAAAGTGTAGAAACGCATAAATGAGAAACTAAAAAATAAAAAAATGGAAAAATTGAAAGATAAAAATCGTGAAGAGACCAAACATTGAAAAATTGGAAAATTAAAAATCGAGAAATCGAAAAATTGTAAAATCAAACAATTGCAAATCGAAAATTAAAATTCGAGACTTTAAAACTCGAAATCGCGAAACTGTAAAATCGAGAAACTAAAAAATAAAAAAATGGAAAAATTGAAAGATAAAAATCGTGAAGAGACCAAACATTGAAAAATTGGAAAATTAAAAATCTGGAAATTCGAAAATTGAAAAACCGAAAAAAAAATAAAAATCGAAAAATAGAAAAATAAAGACACTGAAGAAACCAAACACTGAAAAATCGGAAAATCAGGAATCGAGAAATCAAAAAATTGAAAAATACAGAAATTGTGAACTCAAAAACTTGCAAATCGAAGAATTGATGAATTGAAAAAATCCAAATTGTGAAACTGAAAAATCGAAAAATTGAGATCTCAACAATTTGGAAAATCGAATAATTGCGAACTTAAAAACTGAAAAATCCCGAAATTGAAAATCGAAGAATGGGAAAATCAAAAAAATTGTAGAAACGCATGATTGAAAAAATTAAAAATCGGAAAATCGAGAAATTGGAAAATTGAGACATCGAAAAATGGAGAAATAGAAAACAAAATAAAACTAGAAAAATTGAATAATAAAAATCCTGCAGAAACTAAACATTGAAAAATTGAAACATTGTAAAATCAAACAATTGCATATCGAAAAATTAAAAATCGAGAAATTGAAGACTCGAAAAACTGCAAATCGGAAAATTGAAAACGTCTAAATCGAATCAATGCAAATTGAAAAAACTGAAAAATCCAAAAATTAAAACTAGAGAATCTGAAGAAACGAACAGTAGAAAAATTCAAAAAATTGTGAAACGCATAATTGAAAAATAAAAAAATTAGAAATCGACAAACTGGAAAATTAAAAAAACGAAAAATCGAAAAATTGGAGAATGGAGTACATTCAAGAAACCAAACACAGAAAAATCGGAAAATTAGAAATCGACAAATCAAAAAATTGAAAAATTGTAAAATCAAAAAATTGCGAACCGAAAGATTAAAAATCGGGAAATTGAAAAAATCAAACCTAAAAACTCGCGAATTTGCAAATCGAAAAATTGTGAGATGGAAGAATTGAAAAATCGAAAAATTGAAAACCCAAAAACTTGGAAAATCGAAAAAACTCAAAAATCTGAAAAATACAGAATTTGAAAAATCGAAAAATCCAAAAAATTGAAGAAACGCATGATTGAAAATCGAAACAAACTAAAAACGAAAAACCGAGAAATAAAAATATGTACTGAAGAAACCAAACATTGAAAAATCGAAAAAATTGTAAAATCAAACAATCGCAAATCAAACAATGAAGAATTACAAATCGAAAAAATCAAAATCGCGAAACCGAAAAATCGTATAATTGCAAACTGAAAAATTAAAGAACCGAAAAACTGAAAAATCGAAGAAACTGAGAAAGCCGAAAATTAAAAATAAAAAATCTGGAGAATGAAGAACAGAAAAATAAAAAAATTGTAGAAACGCATAAATAATTTAAAAATCAAAAAATTAAAAATCGGGAAATTGGAAATTTGAAAACCTGAAAACTCGAAAACTTCAAATCGAAAAATTGTAAGAAGGAAACTCTACAAATCGAAGAACTGAAAAATCGAAAAAGTCAGAATCGTGAAACTGAAAAATCGAAGAATTGAAAACCCAAATTTTTCGATTTCTAGTGTTTCCTTCTTACAAATTTTCGATTTGCAAGTTTTCGAGTTTTCAGGTTTTCAATTTTTTATTTCTCGATTTTTAA